ATCGAGCGAATCTTGAGGTTTTCATACAATGCAAGTTCCTGTGTCACATGAACGCATCACTATTAATGTTAATCGTCGAGGAGATATCGGCGAGAAATACTTAGTCGAAAGGGCACAAGAAAGACTCGAAATGATGAAGACCAGCAAACTAGCAAACAAGATTCGACCCGAACCGTTAGAGCTTTTTCTGATTCTCTCAGCCTGAGCAAGCTACTCAAACGATGGTCATACCAGCAGCAAATGAAGCAGCTATGATAAGCGGTGTGGCAACCGGACCCGTAGGAGCCAAAATATATGCTTCGACTCCCGCATTTATACATTACAAGGGAGGCATCATAACAAGTGGGAGCCCACTCGAGTAGTTGTCAAGCATATCTTCGCTCAACCTTGTAGCCAAGGATTGTGAAGCGTTGGTTCCGAACCATAACGTCATCATCGTTGGGTATGGCACTTCTTCAGAAGGAAAACCGTAAGTACCACTGTATTTCCTGGTGATGAATTCGGCCTTAGGTATTGGAAAATCATGAACACCTGGGGGGAGTCTTGGGGAATGAAAGGCTTCGCTTATATCGAGCGAAGCGGAAACCAACCAGGTAATGCATATCTTAAACCGCGCGCATTCCGTACCCGAGGGCTGCATATCCTATGCAGGTCCGTGCAATATCCTCTCCTATCGTGAGGTGATTCCCGTTCTCCCAGGCTCGGTGAAGGACTCTGTCTGTATTAAAGGACATTGACATCTTCAACCTCCGGCTTGGACGCGAATCGCGTGCATTATGCTCCTCGATTATAAACGAAATTTTCGCGTCATAATATCAATTTCAGGGGAATTCTCTACATTGTCGTGTAGTAACTGTAGAGTAGAGGATGGTCGATTACAGCAGACTACACCATGTTTGCCAGCTCCATCGTAGAGCGGCTCGCTTTTCGTTTCGCATGCGTGCTTGTGTACGCGTACCGTGCTCATCAGGTCGATCTCGCTATGGCCGGATGGCCCCTTTTTACGACGATTCAAGTTCTTAGGATGAGGGTTCAGTTTACATAAGAGATTATGAGTCTGAGTAGTTCTGCTTTTGAGTCCAAATGGCACTTCCGAGTAGTGTTAGTCAACGGGGGGGCTCCTGTTAATCCCACAGTAACCGACAGTATATGACAGCCTCTTTGTACTAGTTGAATGATTCAACTTGAATCCGTTCTGATGTTACTTAGTATTACTAGTTAGTAACAGTGCTATTAACGTATGCGATATACATGTCGATCAACGCGAATCGTGAATAAATGGTGCGTACTCATCATCGCGCAACATTTGCCGTATCGCATCAATAAGGCACGATGACATACGTGGATCGTTAGTAAATCTCGGACAGGGTCGTCTTTCTGACGTCGCCATCGAGGCTCCGAAGAGGGAGACTGAGCGACAGTCGAAGTGTCGGTCTTCTCGTCGGCAGCTTTCAAAGTGTTCGTATTATTCGAGTTATACGTATTACTCGAGGATGAGACTGAATAATTTTTAACCTTCACTTACTTGAAAGGCTAGGTTATGGTGCCTGCCTAACTACACAACGTATGACATACGTCGTATGTTACATAAAAAAACGGAAAAAATGATCGCAGATGGAAGTGCAGAATGAGAGAGACCTCACCAGTAAATGTACGAGTGATTGTTTCAGTCGAGACAGCTAAGCAGTTCATCGTGAGTGAGACTGAATCTCGGAGATAGGCCTCTTATTGGTTTGGCTTGGCCACATGGGGTAATCACCTTCATTTGGAATGACTTACTTGATGCGCCCGAGCTCGGCGATCGGTGATACTCGGGCTGCGCTGGCATCGTCAATGGCTCAGCATCACCGAGCGGCTACTACTTCCACGCTGGCACCGAGACCGGGACACTGATTGGTTACTCCCTGCCGACAATACAACAGACCGAACCCAAAATCCTGTGGAGGCTCGACGCCCACTCGCCCCACCCCATCAATGCAATAGCATTGGGTGGAGGCCGGATTGTCACTGCTGGACTGGACAGCGCAGGTGACAGTCGAGGGACGAGAAACCGCGCCACCAATCGATTCGGTATACTCATACTCCACGAAATTGAGAACTTTGCGACGAACAGGGATCCCCTAGGAAGCTCAAATTCCAGGGATCCCCAAGCAGGGACGCGGGATATCTTCCCTACGCGGCGCAGGATCACCTACCCCCTTTCACCTTCTCCTTCAGAGATTCTCGTTCCGACTCTAGTTCCAATAGTATCCGATCCTTCACAGGAATCTCGCGCCTCTCGAGGTCGACCTCTCGTTTCCTCAAGCGAACTGAGCTCAACAATCTCTCGTTTAGAAGTTCCAAATTGGAACCAGATGCCGCATCGACGACACCTCGGAGTGTTGCTAGTTGCTCTCTCCAAGTCTCAGACTTGAAGTCTGATATTCGTCAACGACAGCTCGTGCTCCACCTTTTCAACAGCCCTTCGATCATTCTCGATCGTAGTCTGTACTAAAGCTCATAAATCTGCTGTTGTCTCGTATCCCCCACCTCCACAGCCGACTCTGTCTCCGAGCTTCTGCA